TATATGATCGTGAAAAATAAAGTCTTATCGTTAGAAATAAAATAGTCGAAGACTTAATTTCCGGACCATAATCCGGATTATCATCCGAACGATCATCCGATCCCAACCTGGTACACATTTTCTGGGTGCCCAAATAACTCGAGTTATTTGGCAAGCACTATCATAGTAGGCTGCCGGATAATTATAAGATATTGGTCATGCAACGATTAATATCATGAAATTTGTTTTGTCGGAGCAAATGGTTGGCTGACATGTGCCGCGTCATTTGCTCCGACAAGACAAATTTTGTGATATTTATCATCGCATGATCCAATATCGATGTTATCGTGCAATTATGATCATGATTTACTAGTCGTGGTTGGCTAACTGAGTTTTAATTCGGGATTGTCGTGCTTACGTAATAACGTACAAAAAATAACAAGAAGAAAAAAATCTATGATCATAAGAGTTTGCACGATAATATAAGATAAGTGCGCAATGGAATTGCGCTAGAAACCAGGAACGAAGTCATTAGTATCAATTTTCTAGTTGATTTCTTATACGTATATAACTATTATAATGACTAAATTATGCACTTTGTATATGTCATAATTAATTATACTGGCATATCTTGAATGTGTGCCAGGTTATTGGCGTAGTAATCAGCCACAATAATCAGCACCAATTAATCTCATATCTGAGATCTATGTTTGCTTATTATACGTACGCATATCTTCTTTTGAATGAAATTTTTCAGCTTGCATTGTAGATTCTCTATTTTAATTTGCAAATTGTAGATATTGTATAGCAGAAACACGTAATATGTTAATTGGGTATGTAGAGACCTTATTTTTCGATGGTTAGCGTTAGTATTATTCTTTTTCGTGTTAAAATATGATTTAAGTAAGATATTTGAAAAATTTTTGTAAACTGTTCAATACATATTTATTTTATATTTGATATTTATTATCCAAACTTTTAAGATCAATATTAATTAAGAACTTCGATGAACTACTATTATTTTGAATTGTAAAAAAAAATCGAAAGACATTACGAAAAAAGCATGCGAATTGAATAGCTATAAATAGACTAGAAGTTATAAAATGACGAAGTAGGTGTAATTTTTTAGAATTAGAAAAGACAAGAATCAGGTAGAAATAATTTTTAGATATTTCTGAGAAATGAATTTGTACTGTAGTTCGTACTTGAATTATTAAAAATTTTTAAATTGCGCAAATTACGGTACTTTGGATGATTAATGCGTCACTAACCTGGCATATCTTCAAGGAGTGCGCATTATACTGTATATGTTATTTCTCAGATTAACGCTTGTGTCCGATATCGTGTTGACTTGAGTTAAGGTTAGGCATAGGGTTAGAGTATGTGTAGTTTAGGCCGATCTGTTATTTCTGGTCACACAGTGCCTAGGGGATACTACTTTACGGTTTAAACAGATTTAGGCAGGTTACTATAGTGTGCGCTGCATGATATCTCCCAGTTACAATATTAATTTTTTCTATTGCTCACACATTGTGTTAAACTTTACATTTTTTATGATTACGTATGTACTGTACGCATGTAAGTACGAGCAAAATAACATACCTGGAATCATAAACTGGCTTAGTTACGAAGTAATCCTTTTCAATACCTAATTAGTTTAAGAGATTTAATTTATATAGAAATTTCACATTTATGTACTGTATATTAAAATATTTGAAATTTATTTTTATTTTTTGTTTATATCAATATGTTTTATTTTTTACAATGATTTTTATAAATCTATCTATATATATATAATTGTCTTTTTTTAAAAAAAAAAGTTCTTACAAGTAATTATATATCTCTTATAAGACATTAATTCTGGTAAAGAATAACGTTATCACGCATCAAAACTATAATACTGAAAGATTTTGCTCATAAATTCTGAACCATATTCAGTTATATCCAATTTTCTGCCATGTACCCTATCGGGTCTGATCACTTCTCTCTGTGTTTCACGGGAGTAATACCATCTTCTACCATAATTTATGTCAATCTTCCATCCATCGATTGCAAAAAGTCTTTTAAGTAATGACTCACTCATTTCTATTGTGTGAATTGAATGATTACTCTTTTTTATGTCGGTTAACAAATTGTTTGTGTTCATCAAGTTAAAACATGGGATTGAGGTGAGATCAATGTATTGTAGATTTGGTAAGGCAATTAAAAGATCTTTAATAAGATTTAGATTGGTAATTTGTGCTTTCGAAATACCAAGAATTTGTAAAGATGGGCAATTCTCTTTTATCGTTGTTAAAATTAACGGTGTTATTTGTGAAGATCCAATATCTAATGTTCGGAAATTCTTTGCGTTTGGTGAACGTAGTATAGTAATTAAATCATATTCATTAATAGCTATAGTGATA